CATCTACAGATAACCGTCAATTTGCAATCTTTAGTGAGTTACAATGGCACTGAAAAAAGTGACTTATGACTGGTTTTCACACTTACGACCGTTGCAGCATTCAGATGCTTGGCTCATATTTATGACGGTTGCAGTGTCCCAGGGTCCCCCTTTTGCGACCTTCTGATAAACAAAATCAATGTGGGAAACCAGATTTGCTTATCAACTGTGTTGATTAACTTAGCAACTGCAGGGATTCACTTGACAACGACAACAAGAAAGATTGTAAAATGGGGCAAAACAATAAATGTTTCACTTAACAACAGCAATTTTGGGGTCAGTTATAGTCGTTAAGTCAAAGGCTACTTGTAGTTGGTTGTGAAACTCAGACGATGGCCAAGACTATCAATTAAACTCTTCTTTAGAGTTGGAAGGTGAGGAGAAATAGTCCTGGGTGACCTCCAGCAGACATTAGCAAGGACTGAACAACATGGGAATCATGACAAAATCCAAAAGTCAATGGAGTTAAGTTTCAAACTGTTTGGAATTGGCTTGGTGAGAAGCCCCAGAGCCTCCACAAAGAGAGCCTCCAAAGCCACATTTTTTAAGAAATTCAGAAAGATAGCACAAGTTTGGAAGTATAAAAACCAAAGAATGGTCTACATTCTCCTATCTAAGAAGGCTTCATTCTCTCAACTACTATTTGTCCACTAAAGCACCCAAAGTAACCTCAGGGCTTTAAGGTGGAAACTTTACCCGTAATGCACAAAGATTTGCTTTGCACATTGGACTTACGAATGCATACAAGCCATTTTAATTCAACACTTCACACATGTTCTAAGCTATGGAGTTAGGCAAGTTTATCTCAGATGAGTAAAGGAGAGGCATTCTGTTATTATTGGTGCATCATATGAAGCTGCCAATGTCTGGCTTCAACAAATCAAATTATGTCAGACATTTATGTCTATTAACAGGCCATGTTTCCCAAACATGGAATAACAGAGTTAGAAGGGGGCTTCTAATCCAATCCCCTGCTCAAGCAGGAGACCCTATACCCGTGATGGTGAACCTATGGCATGAGTGCTACAAGTGGAACGCAGAGCCATTTGTGCTAGCACGCCAGCCACAGGCAAACTTATCACACTGCATGCACGTGCCTCACAGTTGATTTTTCAGCTAGTTTGTCGGCCTTCCAGAGGCTTGGGAAAAGCCCCTGCAAGGCTTTTCAGGCCGAATAGGCACATTTTGTCACTTCCTGTAATACCGGAAGTGACAAAACGGGCCTATAATTCATCCTGAGAAGACTCGCAATACAGGTAAGGGGGTGGGGGTGGGGATTGCACGCGCATGCTCAGGGGGCATGGGGGGGCACACTTTGCATTCTGGGTACTGGCACAGGAGCCCAAAAAGGATAGCCACCACTGCCCCAGACCACTTCAGACAAATGGTTGTAGAATCTCTTCTTTAAAACCTCCATTGATGGAGCACACAGAACTTCTGAAAGCAAGTCGTTCCACTGGTTAATTGATCTCATTATCTGGAAATTCCTCCTTAGTTATAGGTGGGTTCTCTCCTTGATTAGTTTCCATCCATTGCTTCTTGTCCTGCCCTCAGCTGCTTTGGAGAATAGCTTGACTCCCTCTTTTCCTTGTGGCAGCCCCTCAAATACTAGAAGTCTGCAAGTATGTCCCCCTAGTCCTTTTCTTTGTTAAACTAGACGTACCCAATTCCTGCTACACCTGATACTATGGATATACTTACAAATAAATACACCTGAAAGTACCTAAGTAACTTCATGAGAAACTCTTCCACAGCAACAAAAGAAGTTAGCTGGTTAGACAGTTTGATTTCATCTGTTCAAATCACAGACCTTCTCTTTATAAACACTGATATTTTGGAAGCTGCAAGAAGAAATCTTAAATGTTGAATTGTGAGTATTTGTGTTTCATATTACTGAACTAGACTCATAGGGGAACATTTCCAAAGAGAAGCTAAACCATATTATTATTCATCTCTCATCTGTACAGGGAGATTAAGTAATTTAGAGCATCAGTATTTACAGGGAAAAATGAATCAGCAACCTAATTTGAACTCTGAAATACCAATGCTTTCATTTCCTTGGCCCTATATATTTTTCCTCTTTTAATATGAAGTCTATGGCAAAAAAACTGAAACATTAACCACAAGAAAATCTAACTCTTGTTAAATAAAGAGGACAAAAATCGGGAAACTAATAAGGACTCTTATGCAGGCTTAGAAAATTCTTTCTAAACAGGGTTATGTCCACATTTGTTTTTCCTCCCACACAACCCAGCCTCCTGACTAATGTCTGTTCCGGAGGAGATCTTGGTTTCTAGAGGTTACAAGCTAGAACCAGAACAGTAAAAGTAGTTTTGTAAAACAGAACAAAGGAAGAATGGTGAAAACTATACTAGTGTCCTTGACACTTCATTAGGCAAACCTAGCTGGATCACAGATCCTTCTGAAATGGTTTATTTTGAACTATGTGTGACATGTTTTGAGCAATCCCAAACTGATCCAACTTGGAAGCGACCCATTACAAGGGTGGGATCATAAAACATGCCCAGAACAATGGGAACAATCCCACTAAATTTCTACTTTGCACAGCCCTAAAAGACTTCTCTTCCAAAATGTTTTTTTTTCCACGCCATTTCTTTAACTCTAGTGCAATATTTTCCCACTTATGGGTTTGCACCTAACATTTGATGTCAGAACCTCATTGTTGGTCCTTTTCAATCGGGCAGTGAACAAGGAGCTACAGTCAATGATCTGAAGATGTTGACCAAGCTGGATGGGTGATTATAATAATAATAATAATCACCATAATAAGGCACTTATATTAACAATGAAGGATTTATCATATTAAAAGGAAGGCTTCTGTTATTAGATTGAATGACAATTAGATTCATGTTCCTTTTTGCAGATGGCACTTTTGGGTAACTAACTGGCTCCATTAACGTTTAAGTACATCTAAATTGTACCAGGGATGTTTCAGTACATCTAAATAGCACCTGAGAACACATTCAAAATTCCTGCCCTTAAGTCTTAAGGTTGCAGCATCATCCAGAGGGGACAGTGAAAATCCATAACCCAACAGGATTTTTCTGATGCCACCACCTCTTCTTTTGAACATTTCTGTAACATCAATACAAACACAAAATAATTGTACCACAATGCTCCATCTGCCATCATTTTGGTCTTAATCAGAGGCAATGTGGTATAGTGGTTAAAGCAGAGGTTCTGTTTCAACTTCCAGAATCCCCTAGGTATCACAGCTCAGATTCTGGGAGTTGAAGCCCGTCCATGCTGGCTGGAGAAGTTCACACATCTTCAAGTCGTCAAGATTGAGAACCACCGGGTTAAAGTGATGGAGCAGAATGGAGAAAACCAAGGTTCAAATCCATCCTCGGTTATGGAAATTCCCAAAAGGCAAACAATCCACTCTATCTTCTTGGATTGTACAAAAACAAAACAAAAATAAACACATACACACACACACACACACACACACACACACACAAGAATCTTGCTTATGTTGCTTTGATTCTCAGGTGAAATACAAATCTATCTAGCCCCGTACAGGAATAGGAAAGCTGAGATATGATTACAACTCTACAGGCCATTAATTGCTCCTCCGAGGACCAGAGGATTCGGAAAGAAAATCTCAGGCTCTGTTTCATATCCAAGAAACAATTTGTCCTGCGAAGAAACAAACAACTTCAGCATGTCCCTGACACAAGTCAGAAGGAGTTGGATTCTGTGGCATTTTTCAAGTCTAACGTGCAAGTTTCAAGTTCCATCAGCCTCTCTCTCGCTTGCCCCGATCCTGGTCTCCGGTGGCCGGCTCCAAATCGCTAGAGTTAGAAAGCAGTTCTTTTCACCATTTATGAATATGGCACAGTTGTGGGTTTCTGTCTACTGAAAATTAAAGCACGTTCGGGAGACAGGAAACCCTGAAACTTCAAGAGTATATGGAGGATGGAGAGCATAAAAAGGGTCTTTCAGCAGAATAGAAACACTTTCAACTTTCAAATGATTTCAAATGAAGTCCCCAAAGATCTGCACAAATTCCCCAGGAAATCCCAGCTCTTACTAGCAAATATTTTTTTTGCTTTTCCATACATCCCCAAAACTCATACCCAATTCTGATTGGATGCAAAGTGGGCAGATGCATGTTAGTCAACTCCCAGAATTCCCTATCCAGCATAGACAGGTTTAAATCCCCAGAATTCCCGAGCCTCCGTGCACAGGCCTCAACTCCCACAATTCCTCAGCCGTCATGCATGGATGTCAACTCCCAGAATACACAACTGCCGTACAGGAATATCACAGGTCTCCCAGAATTCCCCAGCCAGCACGCATGGGTTTTAACTTCCAAAATTCCACAACTGGAATACAGGAATGTCAACTCCCAGAATTCCCAAGCTGTGGAATTTAATGATCAGAATTTGTGTGCTCGCTGGATGAAACGTATTTTTGACATTTGCAGTAATCCAGGGTCATGTGATCACTGTTTAAGACAGTCCAAGCCAAACTCCAACAAATAAAAACAGTGGGAAAAGCTGAATTTGTTTAATGACTATGCGATCAATTGCAGTAATTTGAGTAACAATTGTGGCAAAAAAAAAGAGATGTAATATCAGGTACGGCCACCTTCCTTAAGCAATGTAAGCCTTTGGGGAAATGCAAAAAAATAAATAAAATCCTATTCAAATCCAAATTATTTCTTTTTAAAGAAAGCAAATCCCAACACATCAAGAACATCTCTTTATCCCCTGTGAAAATAGCTCGTAACTGAGAGACCGATCAGATCACTGCATGCAATCCAGACAGTTTATCCTGAAGAAATCCCAAGATCGTGAAGTTGAAAAGCGTTCTGGAATAAGGCAATGCTCGGAATACTGCAGGGAAAATGCCTGCAAGGTCACCCAAAGATTTTTGATCGTAACCCCGAAATAGGCAGCTAATTATTTCCAGCGTCCACAATGGTTTAGCTTCACCTCATCTGCACATCAACCAGATTCATGCATTATTCGTTTTTGCTGGACCAAGGCCAGGGTTCTGAGTTGTGCCTGTTGTTCTGAGCGGCATTCAGAAGTTGCTCAGGCCAAGGGCCCATCTTGAGTCCAACATCCATTGTGACACGGCAGCTGATCCGACGCGCTGATGAACTTTCCAGTAGCAAAGCTGTGAAACATTTATATTTATTATTATTATTATTAAATTAACGTGCTGCACATCTTGTCCAGAGATGACTCTTGGTAGTCGATAACACCACAGTTATTCTGGTTGCCCTCTTTTCTGCCTCTATGATTTTTTTTTCCAATTCTGCAATATCTTTTTTTTTTTTCAGATGTAGTGAACACAGCTGTTTGCAATCTTCCGTAAGTGTTCTATAATGGTTGATTTATATAAAGCCACGACCAACTACACAGTTCATTTAGCGATTCAAAGTTATAATGGCACTGAAAAAGTGACTTAGGACCATTTTTCACACTTAACGACCGTTGCAGCATCCCCATGGTCACATGATCAAAATTCAACGCTAGGCAACTGTTTCGTATTTATGATGGTTGCAGTGTCCCGGGGTCATATAATCCCCTTTTGCGACCTTCCGACATGGGGAAGCCAGATTCACTAACAACATGTTACTAACTTAACATCTGCAAGTGATTCATTTTAATACTGAGGCAAGCAAGGTTGTATAATCTGACAAAACTCACTTAACAAAGGTCTCACTTAGGAACAGAAATGTTGGGCTCAATTGTGATCATAACTGGAGGACTAGCTATACCTCCTATGATTTTTCAATTCTTCCCAGAGGGTTTAAGTTTGTTTTATTAACAGCATACACAGGTTTGCTATTTGCATTCAACAGATATTTTCTTGCCAAGTTCTCTTTCTTGATGCTTTCTTTCTTGATGCCCTTTCCATTAAGCTACCTTTTCACGTTAAAGCCAACAAGTCCACAAACTATGGTTTCTTTAACCACGGTTGAATGCAGAAGGTAGGATAGCCTGGTTACCTATCACATGAAACCGAAACAAACTCGCCCTTCCGGTCTTGTATCTCTGGCACAGTTGAACTTCAATACATACTTTGACCTAGAAATTCATTTATCCAAAATACCTGCAGCAATTCATTGAAAAAGCAAGGAGTGGGGAAACCAGTACTTGTTCAGTATTATTATTCCCACTCCACCACCATGCTCAAAGTTTGAAAATGAGACTTCAAATCCATCATTATGATACAGGGGGTAGGAGTGGAGGGAACCCTAAATATTACCGCTAAGTTATTTCCTTTCTTTAACCATCCAGGGAATTATTTTCTAAGCATTGCAAAACTGCAGGGTAAAGCAGATTTTTTTTTTTTTTAAATCACTCCATCCATCCAGAGAAAAAAATAATAAGTGCAGTAAAATATTTTACTTGGCACAGGCTGATTTCCAAAAAATGCAGCAGCCCTCAAATTAGCCATTTCTTAATTTTCCTGTGCAGCTTTGTTCCCCTAAATCTCAGCAGCCTAGGTTAGTGTGTGTGTGTGTGTGTGTGTGTGTGTGTGTGTGTGTGTGTGTGTGGAGTTCAGGGCAGTCCACAAAATGTTTTCTTGGAGAAAGTGGCCTGGAACAGCTGGAATTAGTTGGGTTTTTTTTTTTTTTTGAGAGAAGATGTTCATTTATTCGTTCTCTCTTCCAAAACAGGAAGAATCCTACCTGAGGCTTCTGCATCCAAAATAAAAGCAAACTGTCCATGCAAAAACTCTGCCGCGATCAACACCTGTCTTTTGCAGGGCCCAAAACCTTGCTTGTCAACTTTTTAACTCTCTGCGCCTGAGATATTATTTAAAGGTGTCGCTTATTTTACCTTTCCTCCCAGCTTACAAAACCAGCGATGGTTATTTGGAGAGGAGGAAGAAACTGAGAAAAATAATAAATCAAGGATTTTTTCCCCCCCAAAGAGTGGCAGCGTGAGGGAAAATGTACAGGGTATTCTCCAACATCTCCATTCACCCAGAAATTTCTGAAGCACCGGTTCACACGACATGCTAGTCTCGAATGGGGGGGGGGGTGCTTTTCCCCCTCGTCCGGTCGTGTGAATGCATGTAAGAGTTAAGAAAGATGGGCTGGAGCACTGAACTATTCTACAGAACCGCAGTGCAGAACCTGCGCATTGAACAACCCAGCAACCAAGGCGAAAAAGGAGAAGAGATCGCGCGATCCGACTTAGAAAAAGGGTTTGCGCGAAGGATGCATTTCCCAGGGTTGAGCCTTGAAACTCCTTATCAAGCCACTGACCCACCACGGCTTACCTTTCTTTCCTGCAGGGAAACCACCAAGCTCAGAGTTTGTCCTTTCGCTTCGTCAGCTGCGTGGTGACTCTGTGTCCCGTAGCCAAACACTCGGGATCGTGGGAGGATGGGGCGCAGAATCAATCAACAAGCCCCCCTGGCAGAGGCCAGTGGGGGGGGAGGAGGAGGAGGAGGAGAAGGAGAAGCCCCGCCAGAATGGCACCGGGACGTGTTTCCTGGACGGGGTCTCTTCCTCCCACGTCCAGGAGAAGAGAAAAGAAAATTTCCAGCTATAAAACTCTTCCTGGGCTCACGGCAATGGGGTGGGTAGAGAAGGAGCAAATGCCCTATAGTTTCCTGCTTTCCAAAGAGAAAAGAAAAAAAAAAAAAGAGGATTTGCAAAGGAGGCGAGGGACAGAAAAAGGGGAAGTGGGGAGACAGGAGTTCGGAAGCCAACAAAATGTTGCAGAGAAAAAGAAACAAGAAGAAACTTTCCGCCAGCGACGTCCCAGCGCAGCTGCAAAACTCGGAGCGCAGAAGGAAGGAGAGCCGGGCAGCAGGAAAGGATGACGTCAAAGGCGGCGGCAGCCAATGGGCGCTCAGCACGCTTTGGCATCGCGTTCGGTTGGGCTGCCAACGGGGTGGATTGGAGACCACGAGGAGGTGGATGGGGTTCAGCCCTCTTCGACAGGTTTTGGAAACAGGGAGGTCGATTCCGAAGGAAAAGTGCTGCGTTGATTCGGATTAAAGTTACTGGCTGTTTAAGCGGAGTGGAAGCGGAGTTGCTGGGTGTGAAATAGTATTCTTTATTGGCCAAGTATGATTGGACATACAGAATTTGTCTCCCGTAGGTAAGTTCTCAGTGTACATACAAGGAACAAAGTGATAAATCATTATTTATAATCATAATATTCTCAGTGGCTGCCCCAAAGAAGAGGGGGTCAAGCTATTCTCCAAAGCACCTGAGGGCAGGACAAGAAGCGATGGATGGAAACTAATCAAGGAGAGAAGCAACCTAGAATTAAGGAGACATTTTCTAATGGCGAGAACAATTAACAGCTTGCCTCCAGAAGTTGTAATGTAAATGCTCCCAACGCTGGAAGTTTTTAAGAAGACATTGGACAACCATTTATCAGAAGTGATATAGGGGGGGGGGGGTGGGCTAGAAGACCTCCAAGATCCTTCCAACTCTGTTATTCTATTCTCTTCTATATTTTATTCTCTATTCTATTTTAATTCCTGTTATTGTTTTTCTTTTTCTTTTCCTATTCCATATTCTATTCTATTTTCTATTCTGTTCTAATTCATATTATTCCTTTTCTATTCCATTCTATATTCTATTCTAATTCTGATCTATATTCTTGTATTATTCTTTTCTTATTCCATTTCATTCCATATTTATTCTATTCTAATTCATATTCATATTTTTTCTATTCCATTCCATATTCTATTTTTTATTCTAATTAATATTCTTATATTATTCTTTTCCTATTCCATTCCATTCCATATTCTATTCTATTCTATTGTAATTCATATTCTTATTCTATTATTCTTTTTCTATTCCATATTCTCTTCTATTCAATACATTCATCATAAATTGTAAGAAACAACAGGGATAGTCATAGGATACTAAATAAATAATCAACATAAATATAAATAAGGACTTCTCTGTATGCCCAATGTAACGCTGACAGTAGTTTCAAAGTGGTGTTTTTCTACATCTGTTTGGCACAGTTGGTCTGTGGCAGATTTTCAGTGGGGGTGGGATGCGTGACTGTTCAAAGTTACAGCACTAAAAAAGTGGCTTAAGATGTTTCCATATTTAACATCCTTTGTAGAATCCCCATGGTCATGTGATCAAAATTTAGACACTTGACTCATATTTATGACGTTACAGTGTCCCTAGGTTGCATAATCCCCCTTTTCAACCTTCTGACAAAGCGGATTCACTTAACAACAGTTTGATTAATTTAACAACTACAGTCATACAGGTTGTAAGTTGAGGACTACCTGTATGTATATGATGAGGATCTATAAAGATTAATAAGTACAAACAGAAATATTTATTATTTCCCACAGAAAAAAAAGGATAGTTAAATTGATTGCTTTCTTCACAGAAAAGAACATATCCAATCTTGTTTCCATTTGGAAATCACTTCTGGATTTTGTGCTTCTGAAAGGGAAATGCCAACATTTTGATTTTTCCAATTAGGTTTATTATAGAAACGGCTAGTGGATATTGTGTAAAAGTAAAATGTTGTTTTAATGTTATTTTCTTTTACTATGCTAAAAAGTGGAATGTGTTTTTTCTTTTTCCCCTTCTACTTTTTCCCCTTCTATTTTTTTGTTCTCTTGTTTCACATTATTTTCATTTTCTTTGTATTTATATTCTAATTTTGAAAGCGCAGAAGATGAGGATGGCTAATTTCTATTGGCCATCTGGGGCTGCAGTAAGGATCCCAATTTGCACCGAGACAAATTTATTTATTTATTTATTTTTATTTATTTATTTTTGTCAATTGCTTACAAAATAATAGGTATAAGTAAAAACAGTTATGAATACATGGATACATATAAGAAAAAGAAAAAAGAAAAAAAGAAACAATAGGACAGGGACGATAGGCACGTTGGTGCGCTTATGCACGCCCCCTACAGACCTCTTAGGAAAGGGGTGAGGTCAATAGTAGACAGTCTAAGGTTAAAGTTTGTGGGGTTTGGGGAAGAAACCAGTCAGGTAGAGTATTCCAGACATTGACCACTCTGTTGCTGAAGTTGTATTTCCTGCAGTCAAGTTTGGTGCGATTAACCTTGAGTTTGTATCTGTTGTTTGCTCTTGTATTGTTATGGTTGAAGCTGAAGTATTCATTGACAGGTAGGACATTGCAATGTATGATTTTATATACTATATTTAGATCGGACCAAGGGCGGCGTAGTTCTAGGTTTTCTAGGTCTAGAATTTCAAGTCTGGTGGCATAAGGTATTCTACAACAAGTAGAGGAGTGGAGAACTCTTCTTGTGAAATATTTCTGGACTTTGTCAACTGTATTAATATGAGATACATAATGCGGGTTCCAAACTGATGAGCTGTATTCGAGTATTGGACTAGCAAATGTTTTGTATGCTCTAGTTAGTAGTGTAATATTACCAGAGAAAAAGCTACGCAGGATTAGGTTAACAATCACACTTGGCCAATAAAGAATTCTGTTCTATTCTATCCTTATTCTATTTTTATTCTACTCTATTCTTCTAATCCTAAAAGTCTCTGGATTAAAGTAAGGTTCTACATTTAGGCAAGAGAAAACATATGCAAAAGGTTAGAGTACTGGCTCAATAGTGATAACTGTGAGAAAGATCTTGGAGTCCTTGTGGGCAATACTTAAATAGCAGCCAGCAGTTGTGCTGCAGCTGCCAAAAAAGCCAATGCAGTTCTAGGCTGCAGATCTCGTGAAGTTTTAATACTATTTTGCCTTGGTAAGGCCATATTTGATATATTGCATTCAGTTTTGGGCACCATGATGTGAAAAAGACGTTGAGACTCTACAACAGGGGTATCGAACTCAAGGCCTGAGGGTTGCATCCAGCCCACTGGGTTTTTAGATCTGGCCCACAGGGCTGCCCTGGACTGCGGTGCCTCTACCAGTGACAGTGAAGCTCAGGAGGGCCCAGGCTCCATTTTCGGCCGTGATGGCCGCCTGCAGCTCTCTGCCAGCAAAAACAGAGCTCGAGGGGGCAGGCGCACGGGCTCCTCCTGAGCTCTATTTTCACTGGCAGAGGGCTAGCAAAACAAAACAAAAGGAGAAATGTTTCCCCTTTTGCATTTGAGCATGGAAAGGAGAAAACAGGAAATGAGAAAGGGAAAGAGGAAACCCAAAGGAAAATGGAAGACAGGAAGAGAGCCAGGAAGGAAAGAGGAAGGAAGAAGAAAGAATGAAGAGGGAGGGAAGGAAGGATTATGAGAGGGAGGGAGGGTCTGCCTTAGCCCTTGGCCACCAGCAGCCCTGCTGCCCTTTCGCCATGATGCCCTTATCTCCTTCTCCTGAGCTCTCCTGGTGGTCTCCCATCCTATCACTGAAGATGCTTTGATGACAAAGCCGGGTCTCCTAGCGTGGAGAGGGAGTGGACTTCCCTCTGACCCGCACACTTGGCCCTCCTGGACAAACCATGAGCAACCTGGCCAAGGAGAGCAAGAACAGCAGCAGCAGCAGCTTCGAGGAGGAAGTAAGCACAGCTGGGCACCCCCTTGAGGAAGCAGGGCTGGGTTGGGCTGTGGGGTCCTGGCGCCCTGGGAGCTTGAGGGCTGGGCTGGGTACTTGCCCTCCGCAACCTTGGCAACGACTTGTACTGGCTGAGGAATTATGGGAGTTGAAGTCCACAGGTCTTAAAGTTGCCAAGGTTGGAGACCCCTGCTCTGGAGGACAAGGGTTTGGCCCTTTCCCTAGACAATAGATCCCCCCCAACAGCCCCGCCCAGGCCACCACAGGTGCTCCCGACACAAGTGACACCGAGCTAGCCATGCCCTCCCCAGCCCCTTCCCGAGGTCAAACACAACCCTGATGCAGCCCTCAATGAAATCGAGTTTAACACCCCTGGCCTAGAAGAGCCGGGTCTTACCTTTTAAAATATGTGTTTTTAATATAAATATTTTAAAAAGATTAAAAACTAACAAAAGCCAATACAAAATAATGAAAAGAGACGAGGGGGGAGAGAAAAAGTACAAGAGGAACCAGCTTCCAATTTTCTTTGCAGCAAGAAAGGAGATCTTGTAAGCGTAGGGTAAGGGATAATTTTATAATCATAACTTCTATTTGATATATTTTGAACATTTTAACTGTGAAATCTCTTTGTTGTCAGACACTCCGCTCTATCTGGAGTTCAGCCTGCAGAGATATACAGACATATAACTCATGTTTCCTTTCCTGCTGCTTTGGTAGAATTATTTTTCCGGTATTATTTCAGATCTCTGTTAGCAGACAAAGCACACAGTTGGTTTGTGGTATGCCTGTGACAGCCTCGTCCTATTCTGCCACAGCCCACTGATCTTCTGTTCCACTTCTGCAGTTTCACACTAATCTGAGAATTCATCAAAAAATCATTTTGCGAAAAACAATGATGTCTTCCTCTGACTGCTATTTGCAGTAAACCACAATTTATTTGCAGAGGCCTAGATGGGGTTCAGCAGTCTTTGCTTCAGCCAAGGAAGGCATGAGTGGCACCATCTGGATGGGGTGGCACTGCCCCAAACAGACTTGGGTGCACTATCTGGGGATCCTTCCTGGACCTGTAGTTCCTGCTCAAGGAGGAAGTCATTTTGGCTAGCTGGGTTTTTGTGCAATTCTAAGTTGTGCATCTGGTGTACCTGTTCCTGGCCAAGTGGGAGCAGGATACTTTTTCAGGGAATTGCACAGCCAGTGTCCATGAAGCTGACATAAACTTGTAGCTTGGTATAAATAAATATATTTTATATTTACAGCAAACAAGATAGTCAGGCACAACAGTACATCTTGAGGTAAATTGTGAGGTAAATCACAATTAAATCTT